GATGTTCTCGACAGTCAAGAAAACTGCTTACTTTCCACTTTCATTGCCTTTATCCACAGTGGTTTTCTTCTTACTATTTTAATTGTTGTTGTTTTTTTGCTCCGTAAACAAGATATGTAAGAAAGCCACAATTTTTTTAAAAAAAATATTGCTAATGGGTAGCATTTTCTCTTTATCTCTGTGCCACACACACACACACACACACACACACACACACACACACACACACACACGTTATGGTTTGCTAAACTTACTTTTTAGTATAATACAGTACATATAATCAATACTATGACTTACATGGGTTCAGATAATTTTTGAATGGCAATTTGTTAGACTGGTTAGTTCATTAAGATTTCTGTGTTTTCAAATATGTTTTCATGACTTGGAAATAGAGATGAGCATGAAATGAACCACAAAGCAAAGCAAAACCAACCAACGATGCATTGGGCCATTTCATGGCTCATTTTGGGGGTCTTCGGGAAAATATACCTCCCCAGAAGAAAAGAAAACATCAAGCTATTTAAAAGTGTTGGCATGACAGCATGTTGTGAGTTTGTCACACAGGGGCCATTCTGCTGCTCCCAGAAGTCCGAAATCACATGAACCACAGAACAGCTCATTTTGTCAAAAAGTTTGTGAAGATTTGTGGTTCGCAGTACATGAATAGCAAACACAAACCATTGCAAGCAGCCATTTCCCCAGTTCATGCCCATCTTAGTTATAAATACAGTGGTGCCTCGCATAGCAACGTTAATCCATGCAGCAAAAATCGCTGCTAAGCGATTTTGTCGTTATGCGATTTTAAAAAGCCCATAGAAACGCATTAAAACCTGTTTAATGCGTTCCTATGGGCAAAAAATTTCCTATGGGCAAATAAAGTGAAGATCCTCCATACAGCGGCCATTTTCGCTGCCTCTAAAGTGAGGAATCCACACAAAAACACAGCGGACGACCACTTTTTTACCCGGTGGCCATTTTGGAACCCCCGATAAGCTGTTAAAAAATCATCACTTTGCAATGATCGGTAAGCAAAACAGGGAACCAATCATTGCAAAGCAAAAAAAACCCATAGGAAACATCACAATGCGATCGCTTTTGCGATCGCAAAAAGTTAATCGCTATGCGGTTTCATCACTAAACGGAGCGCCCGTTAAGCGAGGCACCACTGTACTCCTGAAGGAGTTTTGCATTATGAAATGTCTCAAGTATCACGCATGAATCATAGTGTTTTGACCGGTTCAAACACTGTTTCTCCATTTACTTTGTTGGTTTGCCAACACCCATGGCTTCATTCAGACAAAAAATCTGACATCAGGGCAACTTTGCTTCAAAGCTGTCCTACATGCAACTCTTGGCTTGCCAGAGAAATGCGCAAGATGGCAAATGCTTGCGTAGAGACATTTGTGGGAAGCAGTTCTTGGCAAGAAAATAACAGTGAGTTGTTTGAAAAAAGCAAGTGGTGTCAAGCTGAAGAAACCAGTTTGATTGAAACTTATTCATATTTTTAAAAATCCAAATGAAATCAATAGGACATAAATGATTAGAGATGGGCTTTTGGGATTTTATGGACTATAACTCTCATAATTTGCTCTTCTGGGGGAGAGATTCCTTACAAATATTCGAATGTGGCTCGCCTGAGAGAAAGGCCTAAATTGCAAGGCATTGAGGCCTAGCTCGGCCTAGCTTCCTGCTCAGAAAGAAATCTCCCAGTTTCTTCAGTTTCAATTAATTTGGGAAGAGCATAGATCAGCTTCTTACGCATACATCATGCTTCATAACCATTCTGGCAGGCACCTTTCTGTGGCCCTGCTTAGAAATAAGAGGAACCGAACCTGCTGTTCCTTGTACGCAAAGGGATAAGGGTTTTCTTCCCCATTAAATGTTTCCTTCTGTAGAGCTATCTGGTTCACAACATCCTCTACTGTGCAGAATTACTTTTTTAAACAATTCAACTATTCATTTGGTGCCATTATCTAAGAAAGCCTTTGATTTAATGATGTGGCAAACGTTTCCAAAAGTACTTTTGCAAAAGGATGTCTTAGCACATTGAGAAAGGAGAGCTTGAGAAAAAAAGGGTACATTTCATTGTTGCTTTTTCATTAACAGTCTGAAAAGCAATGTTTTGAAAGCGGCAGTTTTAGCATTTTTACATTATTGTCAAATATTATTTTTAAAAGGTCAAGGGTCTTTGTCATGATCTCCATGTGGCTCCTGCTTGTTTCCCCAAACTAATTGCTCACCCTACGTGTCTTTCAGCTGCCACCAGTTGATTACATCAACATTGTTTAATATTAATAATGTGTCATTTTTAAAAGAACCAAATAGAAATTGTTTATTGTTACAGATGATGATAGTTCCAGCAATGTTGCCATTAAACAAACATCCTCCTTCATCCACTCTCAACCATCACTCTCCTGCTCATACTCCCAAAACTCCCCCTCCTGCTGCTGACTCTCTTATATCTTGTGACTCCGCCCCTCTAGCACTCCCATTGGTCTATGCAGATATCATATTAATATTCATGACCTGGGCGGACACCACAATATTCCTATCTAAAGCAAAAGTGCAAATTTTAACATAATCATCCGGCATTTAATGCATTATTTTAAAGTTCTGGTTGAAACATTATTTCAAGAGATCTCTTAAGTTAAGAAGTGTCTTGCACACAGTATGAGAATGAGACAAGATGTTCTTTTGTTGGTTTATTAAGATGTGTGCAGTTTACACAAAAGCATCTTTGCTGGTGCCTTTTTCCTTTGTGAAGCTAAATGCACATACAAAGCAAATGTAGAAGGTCTGGACGAGGGACCAAGACTAAAACAACCCATCCTATGCTTCATATTTTTCGCAGACCAAACCACAAGGCACCAGCTTCAGCTATTTCGGATCATCTGTGCAAATATCATTCTCACAAGTGTGAGAATACTCATTACTAATAGGATACAATCTTTTTCAATCTCATATGCAATAAGAAAAAGGGCTAGTTTCTTGTTCTGATACAAGAGAAAGGAACAAGGGAAGATTTATGTCTCCACTTTAAAAGCATTGCCATTTACAGACTGCTTCCAGATGAGATGAAAATATTGCTTTAACCTTTAATGGTTTGCTGTACTTTTTGTTGAGGCTGCCAAGTAGGATCTTTCCACTAAAAACTGATTATTCATATGCAGTAAGTGTTCCTTACGGGAACAAAACATTCTGGTTTAAATAAATAAATGCCTGCACTCATAACTATAAGACACTGCAAGATTCATGATAATTTACTGAATTTATGACAGGGAAATACTAGGATCCTTGCTTGTTTACCGTGTGTGTGTGTCTGTCTGTCTGTCTGTGCATGCGTGTGTGTGTGTGTGTGAGAGAGAGAGAGAGAGGATTGTTTTCCTCCTCACCCATGAGAAGTCACTGGCATTGAAGAGAGGTTTTGTTCTTGTGTGTAAATATTGCAGCTATTGTATTATGCAAAACCATGCTAGCTTCTTCTTCTTCTTCTTTCCATGGATATTTAAGACTCAGAAACATTGGAGGGGTGAATTTTTGACATACTTTTGAAGACTCACCTTCCTTGTCGCATGTTCGTTTTGCTTTTCAGAGGGAATTTACACCAGTCTTGTACACAGGTATTTACACAAACTGTAGAGATCTAGATGAGAAACCTGTTGTCCCCTGAAAAAGACTTTTGGTATACAAATACATGGGGATTGAAAATTCAGGGATTTTGTCTTCTTCAGGCTACCTAAACTGAGGACATTGAGGAATTTGGTGAGTGCTCTTCACGTCTCTAGTCTTCAGTAAGGCAAAGCACACACAGTCCTGGTGTTTCATTTATGGACCCGTCAATGAAGTATTTTCTACTGTCAAAGAACGGAGCTTAGCCAGGTCCATCTCTCCAGATCCAGAAGAAGAAGATTAAGTCCACAAACATCAGATTCCCCAGTACCAGTCATTCAGGAACAATAGGAAAAGGGTGTTATTCCCCTCATATCCTTTACACAGACTTCCTGAAAGTGTTGGGTTGCCCATGTTGGGAAAGAAAATGTTTGACTAGCTAAGGCTTCTGGTCTGATCCCACAAAGTTGATTTTTATGGGCTCATGATAACGAGCAACACATAGGAGTTGTTCAATATGGGAGCAGTAAGATGGGGGAGGAAGACAACATGCTGAGGTGGCCTGGAGCTTTCCAGAAGATCGTGAAGGACCAAATCTGGACTTTTTGCACATTATGGCTTCCTCCTGGGAATGTGAATGAAATATGGTTCCATAAATAGTTGCTGCGAGGGGTGGGAGGTGGACATTACAAAAAGTCTGTCATCAGCAGAAGACAAAGGAGAAAGGATCCAGAGAGAGACGAGCTTTGACTGGCAGGTCTACAATCAATGTTTTCACCAACCCCGAGGAAGGTCCTTTGGCCAGTTTGTAATTCAGCACAGGTCGACTCCATCGTGCAGCCCTTCAGGTTGACAACCTTTTCTAGATGTGAAATACAAAGGTATGAGTCAGGGTCACCATCCCCGGTCATTTGCCTTTAGGGGGGGAAAAGTCTATCTATGTGTTTAATGTGTATTGCCACGTTCCTCTCAAGATGTTCAAGGTGATGAGCAAACATAACATCAGTGCTGTATGTAACAATGAGCAAACGCCAAAACTGGCCAAGGAAACAGAGACAAAAAAAAAATCAAACATTCTTCAACTAGTGCGGAAGTGCTACACAGTCATGAAAAACAGGATGTGGGTTTTAAACAGAACAGATGAATGCTTGTCTAGTGCACCATCTATCTGTTATCTAGCTGATGTGCCCCCCTGAAAAATGAAATTGCCTCCTGGGGGGCATTATTGCCCACGTTAAGAACCACAGGTCTAGTGCACCAGCCTCTCAGTGTAACTGTGTACAAATCCTACCTAGGCTGAGATCCTATTATTTATTTATTTATTCATCTATCTGTTATCTAGCTGATGTGTAGGCATCCTTCAGTCTCAAGAGAGTATGGTAATGTGCTCTGAATATCGGTCTTGAAACAGCGTCTAGTGTGGCTGAGAAGCCCAATTGGAGAGTGACCATCCCTTCCAAACTGAAGACAAATACAACCTGTCCCTTGTCCAGCTCCCTGATTTTGCTGGTTTTGGGACTGCCTCTTTGCCTCAGCCTGCTGGACAAGTCTCTCTTCAAATTGGGAGAGGCCATGCTGCACCGCCTGCCTCCAGGCTGAATGCTCAGATGTCATTTATGCCACTGTTATATGAATTAGGACTACCATAAATGGGTAAGGGGGATTTAAAACTTGTTTCATCTATTCCTTGATTTAAACATTCACACATGACATAGGGCTTTGGAAACTTCTCCAACATGAATGGAGGCTTTTTTTGAAAACTGTGCTGCAACATGAGAAATAAGAAAGAAAATCATGTTTGGTCATGGATTGGAAATAAGAGCATCAGGGAAGCCAGGGGGTCAGATGGGGACCTCCCATGAGCTTTCTCCAGCTGGATGCTTCCTGTCTTTATTTATACAATGCCAGGGCTGGACTCTGGGGTCTGCTGGGTGAAATGTATGCGCTTTGGCTGAGCAATGACCCTCTACACTTACTGATGTGTTATTTGAATACATTTATTCATGCTGCAAAGCCGGGTTGATTTGTGTTTCTTCTAGATCTCATTGGAATTAATTTTTTACATGGAACATCAAGCCGCAGAGTAGGAGAGCAGGGAAGAAGGCAGAAGAGAGCATATCATGTAAAACAGAATTACCTCCAAATTGGTACATCATCATATCCAGGCAGTAGTTATCAGATCCAGTACAATTTACTACTGCAGTAGAGCATTCCTTTGGTGCAGCATAGCAGGCTGGGCATCGCTTTCCGTTGGCTGTGGTGTTCCTTGGTGGCGGCACTGTAAAATGGAAGGAGCCAAGCAGCTATTAGGTGGTGACAGGAGGCAGAGCAGCTGAACAAGTAGCTTGTCCTTCAGGTTTCAAATCTCATATCAACTACAGTATTACTTTTCTGAGAATCCTTTCTTCCTTCTATTTGACATGTTTGGGGCTGTATGAGTGGCACACGTCCCCTAGAACTGTCAGTCTGATCACCAACCAACTCAAGAAGGCACATTTTTGTAAAATGTCCTTCAGGTCCTTTAGGAGATGTGGAAAAAATTCTCCCAGCTCTAAAAATACCTAAAACAATCTCTCTCTCTCTCTCTCTCTCTCTCTCTCTCTGTGTGTGTGTGTGTGTGTGAGAGAGAGAGAGAGAGAGAGAAAGAGAGAGAGAGAGAGAGAGAGAGAGAGATGTAATGTGCTGTCAAGTTGGAACCAACTTACAGTGACCCTAATAAGACTTTCAAGGTAAGTGAGATATATAAGAAGTGGTTTTATCAGTTCCAACCCCAACCCACCCACAAGTTTCCATGGCTAAGCAGGGACTCATGTCTCCTAAATCTTAGTCCAGTGGTTCTCAACCTTAAGAGGCATGAAGATAGGACATTCTTGCTGGGCTTCAGGTACTTCTAGATCAGATGTTCTTGGACTACAACTCCCAGAAGCCTTCACCATTAGCTGTGTTGGCCAGGACTTCTAGGAGTTGTTGTCCAAGAACATCTGGGGATCCAAGATGGGGAACCACTGTTCTAGTCCATCAATCTAGATTACACTGGGGGGGGGTTCAAATATGGCAAAATTGCCCGCAGACAAGTTGTAACTCCCTTGTAACACCACCACTGTAATGTGGTCATGATGGCGGTCAGTCAAGAAGATCGATCTTAAAAAATAGGGTATACCTACATTGAGAAAAAGCTGAAGAGCAGTCATTCGCTAGGCAACAGCTGACACTTTTCCTTATAAATTCCTGTCGACCAAAGGTGACCCATATCCACCCAGCTGAACAGTTGTAGGAGGAATAGCAGCCTTTTTCTACAGCTGGGTATATTTTTCCACCTGTCAAACAACAAGAACAGCAACAACTATAATAGACCAGTGCACTCTATTTATTATTAATGCACTGGTCGTTATGCAAAAAAAATATAACTGGCCAGCCTCCCAAAACCTATGGGAACATCAGGTAGAGAAGGTGGCAGAAAATGAGGACGTCAAGATCTTGTGGGATTTCTGGATCCAAGCAGATAGACACCTTGAACCTAACATACCAGACATAGAAGTAATAGAATGAAGAAATGTCTCTGGATCATTGACATTGCAATTCCAGGGGATGCAAGAGTTGAAAATAAAGAACTGGAAAATCTACAAAGTATAGAGTCCTCGCAATCAAAATATCTTGCTTGTGGAGGAAACACACTTCACTGGTACCCTTAGTCCTTGGGGCTTTGGGAACAATATCAAGAAATTTCACCCAGCATTATAACCAGTTGCAGATCTCAGAAATAATACCATGAGAGCTACCAAATATGGCAATATTAAGAGCATACATATTGCACCAATATTGAACAGATACGCTTGCATCTGTTATATAATACCAGTCAATGTTTTTATAAGTTTCAGTGACTATGCCTGGTGTTTTTGAACAACAAACAACAAGAACGACAGACTTTGCTATTCCAAGGGATGCCAAAGCTGAATATAAGAAATTGGAAATATTAACAAAATATACCTGGCAAGAGAAATAACTCGCTTGTAAAGGAAATATATTACAGAGGTCCCCATAAACACTGGGGCATTGGGAATTTTATAAAATATTTCAGCCATCTGCAGATCTCTGAAATAGTGTTATTAGAGTTACAAAAAATGGCAATGTTAGGAACAGCATACATAAAAGTAATG